CGGCTGATTTTTTGTATTTTTAGTAGAGATGGGGTTTCACCGTGTTAGCCAGGATGGTCTTGATCTCCTGACCTCGTGATCCGTCCGCCTCGGCCTCCCAAAGTGCTGGGATTACAGGCGTGAGCCACCGTGCCTGGCTACTAAAAACACTTTCATCTGCCTACTAAAAAATACAGACATCCAAAGGCATCTAATATATAATCATAAAATATATGTGAGGGCAACCTGTTTAACTAAAAATTCCCTTAATATATGAAGATAAAAATAAAAAGTAGTTGACTGGTAAGCTGGGTACAGTGGCTCATGCCTGTAATCCCAGCACTTTGGGAGGTCGAGGTGGGCGGATCACCAGGTCAGGAGATGGAGACCATCCTGGCTAACACGGTGAAACCCCGACTCTACTAAAAAAAAATTAGGGGGTGTGGTGACGGGTGCCTGTAGTCCCAGCTATTTGGGAGGCTGAGGCAGAAGAATGACGTGAACCCAGGAGGCGGAGCTTGCAGTGAGCCGAGAATGCCACTGCACTCTAGCCTGGAGGACAGGGTGAGACTCCCTCTCAAAAAAAAGTAGTTGACTGGTATTAACTGCAATTTGGTCAAAGCAAAGCTTTAGTATCAACTCAATTGTTGAGCACTGTTTTTCCTTTCCATAAAAACCTTTAATGGGATTAACTGATTTAAAGAGCGTTGACTGGTTCTGATCAAATCTTGTAAATTACTAATGGATGACAACATATAATTCAAATAGAGACCACCTAACAAGAGTTTTCAAATGATCATATTTTTGGCAATTTTTCACTGATTTACATACCCACTGGTGTATGTGAATAGAAAAAAGCACAGAAATGCAGACTATAGTACTTGAGTTGAGGTCTACTCTGCAAAGTAGCAATACATACGGTAATTTATCAAATAATTCTTTTATTACCTTCTGAAAAGAGGACATAAATATACTGCTACCTCTTTATTTGCCACAGAAAAGATTATTTAGTCAAGTTATAATAGGTTCAGGTTTGACTATCACAGCACAAATTATCTGGCAACGTAAAGTCTTCAGAGAATGTAATGCTCAGAAATGTAAACGCTCAGAGAATGGTCACATTCTAGCTGATTGACACGCTTCAAGAGAATCCTAAGTAGTCAGAGGAGGTTCTTTGGCTGATCTGTAGTTACTTACTTCAGGAAGATCACATATGTATTCAGATCAACTATAAACATCTCTTTATATCCAGATGTTTTCCAAATCACAAGGATTCAAAAGCCACAGCAAATTCCCCAGAAAGGCTGTATTCCAAGCCCATTTATTTAAGCTTGGCTTGGTCCTGGACCAGTCTTGTTAAGGAAATGGAGCATTCAATTTAGAAAGCAATTCCCTCTTGCCACCTATAGATTTGCAGTTCCAGGCTGCCCCCATCCAGCCAAATTTCTCCAAACAATTTAAGCACTAGTATTATAAAACTATCAATCTGGGCATTCTAGGATTAACACAGATAAGACTCTACTTAACAGTGCTCCAAAGCCAGCAAAAACATTTGACTTTGGTAAAAATTGCAAAAAGAGGATAGTATAAGATGAATATTTTTAATAGTAAATTAAGATTAGGTTTTTCTTACATTATTAATGTACTTTTCTCAGTGATTTTTGCTTGTTTATTGGAATCACTTATCTTCACATAATGAGCAAGTCTTTTAAATTTTAGCTACTCTAGTTAAGCTGAACTTAATAATTCTTTAAAACTATGCTCACCTCTTTATGCTTTACCTCCTTTTTTTTTTTTTTTTTTTTTTTTTTTTTAGACAGAGTCTCACTCTTATCACCCAGGCTGGAGTTCAAGCGATTCTCCTGTCTCAGCCTCCTGAGTAGCTGGGATTACAGGCACCCACCACCACGCCTGGCTAATTTTTGTCCTTTTAGTAGAGATGGGGTTTCACCATGTTGGCCAGGCTGGTCTCCTGACCTCAGGTGATCTGCCCACCTCAGCCTCCCAAAGTGCTGGGATTACAGGTGTGACCCACTGAGCCCAGCTGCTTTACCCCCTTTGAATAAAATCCTTTCCCTATTTTTCTCATTCAAGTGCTATACTTCCTTTACAACACAGTAAAAGATGCAAATTCATAAAGTCTAATCTCTATTAAAAATATATTTATCTTTACATTCTTAAATTTACATCATACTTACCTGTCTTGAACTCCCTATTTTTATTTTCCTAGAAAGTTAAAAAGCCTTGTAACATTCTTTATTATGAACCCCACACACAAAGCCCAGAACAATGCTGGGCACAGGTCAGGCACCTTAATGTATATGGCCCTCTAACTTTAGATGGCACATGATTAACTGGGTGGAATAACAAAATTTGTAAAAATTATGACAACTAATTTCTCAAACATGTTAAGGATCTATGAGTATATCAAACCTATACAATGGTGTTATAAAAGTGCAACTGGATAACTAGGCTCAAGGAAATGTTTAAATTTATATAAATCTATCTGCAAATAGTTAATTTTTATTTTATTTTAAAAAATATTTTTAGTGTCTTGTATTTTTAAAAACATCTTAAAAATTAAAAGTATGTTGAATTGTAGAGAAATTAAACAAATTCAGGTGTCTAAAAAGGAATATCTAAATAAAAGATTATTGTAGATATTGTATATCAAATTCTAGGCAATATGTAGCATCATCTAATGCAATATTTAGCAGTCACCGTAGCAGTTAAAACTAGAATATAATTTATTGTTATAATTTTTTATTAATTCAGACATGAAAATAGTAAATTTTCAAAAATGATTAAACACAAAATCACATGAAACATATTTCTAACTGTACAGAAAAATATTTAATGTATACTACTTAATGGCCTTTCTAAATGCTTAGTTTCTGTTAGACAAGAAATAAGAACCAGGCAAAGATTGAGAGAAAACATTCAACTGTAAAATTTAACCTAGGAAGTTGAATTTGAAAACACTTAATGTGATTTCGAAAGTATGGAAATTCTTTGATTTATGAAGCAAACAAGCATTCAGACTGATACTTTTTATAAAACAAAAAGTACCACACTCTAAAAATTATTTTTACACTCAAGGAAGTGTCAATGGAGTAGAGATCAAAGACTATCTGTTCACTGATAGATTCCAATACTTCGCCTCTAAACAATCCCAAGAAGGCTGGGCGCAGTGGCTCATGCCTGTAATCCCAGCACTTTGGGAGGCCAAGGTGGGTGGATCACGAGGTCAGGAATTCAAGACCTGCCTGGCCAAGATGGTAAAACCCTGTCTCTACTGAAAATACAAAAATTAGCCAGGCATGGTGGCACGCATCTGTAATCCCAGCTAATTGGGAGGCTGAGGCAGAGAACTGCTTAAACCTTGGAGGCAGAGGTTGCAGTGAGCCGAGATCGTACCACAGCACTCCAGCCCAGGTGACAGAACGAGATTCTGTCTCAAAAAACAAAACAAAACAAAAAACAATCCCAGGAATTCCAGAGATTTAGGGCAGGTAAGATGACATACGGTTATGGCCTTCCCTGCCTTCAGGCCTGATAAGCTGCACTGTATCCACAACAAACCAAGCAGTGCAATAAGGAGTGTGCCCCTCTGCTGGCACGTGTTTCAACCTCTTATTGGTCTAGATATATATAGAAAAACAGCACAAAATCCTAGATCCTTGAAGTATTTGGGGGTTCTGGATAATCCCAGTTAAAATTTATAAAGCAGGGTTGCTGCCTTTGTTAAAGACCATTCTAAGTGAAAAAAAAAAAAATCATATAAAATACCTAAACTAGCTCTAAAATGCTTCATTTTTCCAACAACATATGATAAAGTCTGTACTTCTTTCCTCCTGCTTGAAGGCAACCCTCCCATGTACTTCTTTTATACTATAATTTATACTGTTTTGAGACAAAGAGAGTCTTCAGTAAACTAAATTCATTATACACACAAAATGGCATGTCATCTTTATGACATTCACAATCCACTGCAGAAAAATTTACCAAACCTACAAAAGAAATCTGGGATCCACTTTCTAACACCTACCCAGCTTTTGACGTCAAAAATCCAGGTGTCATTCTTGATTCATCTTTTCCTCAGATTTCCAAACAACTTCCGCCAATTCTTCATCCAAAATAGATCCCCAATCCAAATACCTAGTCCAAGTCATTATTCTTTTCACTGGTATGACCACAACAATATCTTAACTGGTTTCCTGGCCTCCATCTCTCATCGCACCCCCGCCACCCGTTTTTGTTTTTGTTTTTATTTTATTTTATTTTGAGACAGAGTCTCGCTCTGTTGCCCCGAATGGAATGCAGTGGCGCAATCTTGGCTCACTGCAACCTCTGCCTCCTGGATTCAAGCAATTCTCCTGCCTGTGGAGTAGCTTGGATTACAGGCGTGTACCACCATGCCCAGCTACCCTTAACTTCTTTTCAGTTTTTTTATTAAGCATAAAACCAGGTATCACCTACTTGCTTAAAACTGCCCAGTGATTTCCCAGTGCAATCAAATAAAATTTAAACTTTACTTCAGTTGATAAGACTGTACACCGAAGATCTTACCTCCTATTACACTGGGCAACTTTTGACCTTAAACTTCCCAAGTCTGTTCCCAGGCAGTACTGAGTTCCTTCTCCTTTGTACTTGGAATGTTCGTGGCCCAGGTCTTCATTAAGTTTTCCCTTTCTCATCACTCTGGTCTTAGCTCCAATTTACTTCCTAAAAGAGGTCTATCTTAACTACCCTAATGAAAATTA